CAGCAGCAGCAGCAGGAAGAGGATCAGGCTGCAGCAGACAGTGATGACAGCGGCAGCAGCCCTGCCAGCACGGATCCAGCAGCAGCAGCAGCAGCTGCTGCAGCGCTGAGGGAGGGGGCCCCTTCTCTAGGCGCTTCGAATAACCCTAGTGGGGAGTTGAGTCCCTTTACAGAGACAACATCAGCAACTCCGAGTAGCAGCAGCAGCAGCAGCAGCAGAAGCAGCAGCAGCAGCAGCAGCAGCAGCAGCACCTGTCGCTATGGAGTCGAGGAGTTTCTCTCTCTTGCACGTCTTATGGAGAAGGGGAGAAACACACTTGTGCTGCGGGACTTGCCGCCGGAGACAACGAAGGAGGACCTGCTGGCTATCCTGCGCAAGGCCCCGTTGCTGCAGCAGCTGCAGCAGCAGCAGCAGCAGCAGCAGCAGCAGCAACAGGAAGGGGAAGGGCAGCAGGAGCCCTCGCAGAAGAAGTCACCGCAGCAAGATGGTGAGGAAGAGCAGCCACCTCAGAGCGGAGACAACCAGCAGCAGCAGCAGCAGCAACAGCAGCAGCAGCAGCAGCAGCAGCAGCAGCAGGAAGATGAGAGTTGGTGCAGCATCAGGAGAGATGTCAATGACACCTGGTTTGTCTCTCTCAAGGAATCTGCGCCCACGCAGGAGGTGGCGCTTTGGCTGCGTTCGCAGCAGTTCAATGTGAGGCCGCAGCAGCAGCAGCAGCAGCAGCAGCAACAGCAGCAGCAGCAGCAGCAGCAACAGTAGTAGTAGTAATAATAATAGTAGTAGTAGTAGCTCCAGCCCTTCTGAGGATACACCGGGTGGCTTTCTTGTGTACTAGACAGTCTGCATGCATACAGTTGAACAGTTTGGGGCTTTCTGCACCTTCTGCTGCTGCTGCTGCTGCTGCTGCTGCTGCTGCTGCTGCTGTTTTGTGTGTTGCTTTCTCTTCAGGGCAAACCGTTGCAGGTAGGGATAAAGGCATCCCACGCGCTGCACCGTGTTGTATCGGCGCAGGCGACAGCTGCAGCAGCAGCAGCAGCAACAGCAGCAGCAGCAGCAGCTGCAACTCCTCAGTTCTTTCCAGCCCCCCCTATAACACCCCTGGGGCTGGCTGCTCCCCCCTCACCCTATGGAGTGCTGCCGTCAGCAGCAGCAGACATGGGGGTCGTGCTGCCTGCTCCTCGGCAGCAGCGGCGCGCGGTGCGGCCGCAGCGCAGCAGCAACAGAGGCCGACGCGGGGGGGCAGGGTTTGCTGCTGCAGGCGGCTATGCTGCTGTGGGGCCCCAGGGACCTGCTCAGGTGTACAGCAGCAGGCTGCCGCAGCTGCAGCAGCAGATGCCCCCGTACCCTGTAGAGGCAGAAATGCAGCCGTTCATGTGGCCGCCTCACGCCCCGCTGCAGCGGCACCATCTGCTGCAGCAGCACCACTTCTTGCAGCAGCAACTGCAGCAGCAGCAGCAGATGATGGGCTGCTGCTGGATACCCGCCCCTCAACACACCCCGCCTGCTGCTGGCGCCCCCTTAAACAGCAACCACAGGGGAAGAGGCAGGGATGCAGCAGCAGGAACGCCAACAGCAGAGACTGAGGACTACCGCAGGGGCCAGCAGCAGCAGCAGCAGCAACAGCAGCTGCTGCCGCCACCGCAACAGCTCTTCTACCCTGCACCAGGCTACTTCTCTCCCCACATGTTTGTCCCTCTGCCTTACATGGCTCCGCGGCCGATGCAGCCGTACATGCAGCAGCAGCAGCAGCAGGCACAGGGATACCCCTCTCCTCAGCAGCAGCTGCAGCAGCAGCCAGCTTTCAGAGGCAGGGGTGGCTATGCAGGAGGCAGAGGCCGCAACGGCAGCAGGTGGTGGGGCGCGGGGAGGAACGCGGCTCCCATGGGAGCTCCGCGAAACAGTCAAAGTGGAGGTAAGGAGCAGCAGCAGCAACAGCAGCAGCAGCAGCAGCAGCAGCAGCAGGAACTGCAGCAAGAAGGCTGCGTCTTGGGTGTATGTGTGATGCTGTGTGCAGCTATTGGCCGCGGGGGCGGCCGGCGTAGAGGTGGTGGGACCCCTTGGAGCGGTCGGGGGGGTGTTGCTGCTGTAGACGAGCAGCAGGAGCAGCAGCAGCAGCAGCAGCAGGAGCAAGAGCAGCAGCAGCAGCAGACGAGCGCAGGCGACTCGAGTAGGGCTACAGCAGGCGCTGACGCTGGCGGCGTCGGCAGCGAGCCATCAACAGCTGTCTCGGGGAGGAGAAGCGCAGCAGCAGGACAAGCAGCAGCAGCAGCAGCAGCAGCAGCAGCAGGTGGCAGCGGCCCACGAAACAGGCAGCAGCAACCTCCTCTAGAAGCAGCAGACTTCCCCCCCCTTGGGGCTGCAGCAGCGCTATCGAAGACCCCCAGGGCTCCTGCACAGCGGAAGGGTGAGGGGTTGCTGCTGTGACGATGATGTTATTCCTGCTGCTGCTGCTGCTGCTGCTGCTGCAGCGAGGTTCGGTTCTTGCTGTTGCTGCTGCAGAAAGAGTCTCTTTTTTTAGTGCTGCTGCTGCTGCCTCGAGGCTAGGTTCTTGCTGCTAGCGGATGCTGCTCCTTGTTGCATGCATGTTGCTGCTGCTGCTGCTGTCTTGCTGTCACTGCAGCAGCGCAAGGCGCTTCCCGTGCTGCAGAAACTGCGGAGGCCGGCGATACGAGCCAACCCTCAGTGAGCAATGAAGGTCTAGGGTTTAGGGTCTAGGGTTTAGGGTTTAGGGTTTAGGGTTTATGGTTCTATATGCGTTCCTGTGTGG